GAAGTACTGCATACGTAGAAGTAAATATACAAATTTAACAAGGAAGAGTTTCAAACACTAGTCATCAATAAGAAATTAATCAATAATATATCACATACATAAAAGAACTCATATTGAATTCCTGATTAGGGGTGAAACAGTATACCATGGTATTAGTATTTTGCCTTCGGTTCGGTATACCATCATGCAATCCAAAAATTCGGTATTTTCGGTTTTCTTATTATCTTTTTGTTATCCATGTTAAACCTTTTCTAAAATGTCTAGAAATCAAATGATTTTGTCAAGATCTATGCATTTCTTTCCTAGATGATAATTTACTGTATTATGATCATATCTCATATACCAAACAGAAACGAACCGTACTAAAGGTCTTGTACTGCAATATGTACCGTACCGTTTCACCCCTATTCTTGATATTTGATATTCCTGCCGAAACAGGTTATGTTTGAAATTGGTTCCACCACAATGTTAATGTAATCATATTTTCATGTATAGATAGGACTAAAATGGAACTCCACCTTTCTACAGATTGAAAGATGACTGTGCCCATGTCAGAGCTGAACCAGAGTGGAATGTACAAGAAACTTGGAATGGGACACAGAACAGTAAAACAGGTCCATGTAAATGTCTGACATGGAAAGAGACACTGAGCATGAAAAACTGATGGAATTAGAGCTACAGTGAAAAGTGTGAACATACAATCTCATCATGGTACATTCTACAGTTCACTTTCACTAACAGTATAAACGAAGAGGAAACTATGTAATTGCTGTATGATTCAGGCCCCTGCATATTTAACTCAGCTTAATTCAGCAAGCAGTCCTGACAAGAGAATTCAAGAAATGGTGACAGCAGCTGATTTCACATAACATTGGTTCATCTGTGCCATGAGCCATTCATGAGTGAGTGAGTGTGAGAGTTGGATTTAATTCTGTTTTCAACAGTATTCCAGATACAGGTCGTAAATTAAACCATGTCAGCTTAGAATGAGAGTAACACACAAAGGGATTATTAGAACCTAGAATCATATACTGGTGTTGTCTAAGAGAAGCACCTCTGGGTGGCCCCATCTACTAAGTTATATAAACTAAGAGTCAGGTATTGAAATGATTCATCTATGATTGGTTCACAGAGTATATGCAAGAAACACAAAAGGTTTGTTTGCAACTAAATATAAATCTCAGTTTTGGATATGAAAGAATGCACCATTAGACTATTGCTAGAAGATGTATATATCTCTTTCCGCTTTGGTAATGCCATACAATCAGTCTTAAACAAACATGAATATGAATACATGACACGTTTTTATGGATAACAACTTCTTTTTATTCTTTACATGAGGTTTCAGATCTAATTTTTCCTCTGTCATCAGGTAAATGGCGTTTAAGAGCAAATTCTTGCTGCTTCAGCAGATGAATGAAGGAGATTCACCTGATGGAGCATGAATTAGCTCTGAAACATCGTGCAGAGAATAAAAATAAGTTGTAATCCATAAAAACGTGTCATGTATTCATGTTCGTTCAATTTCTAAATGCCTTTACAAAGAATCATCCATGTTTTAGAACTAATTACTTATAGATTGCCTCAGTGATACTGCTTCAGTCAGAGGAAGAGATTACCAGCACAGTATTGCAGACAACAAGAAAGAAATCAACCAAAACAATATAAATTATATCACCTTACCACTGTAACAATCCAAGATTTTGCCATTAATCATGAGACACAATTCAATAGACATATTAGACATAGAGTACTTACTTCACTTAATTACCAATGGCATAAGCAATAAATGGAGAGGTTCTACATTTGGATCCTACTTGTATTCTCATGGAGAAAAAATGCCCATAGCGGCTTCACTGTGGAGCGAAGATTGACAAGGAGCATGTGATCACTTGGCAATGACAGGATGGCCTAAAACAGAATATAGTCACAAACCAGGAAGTGTCACGTACACCCCATGATGCTTATCGCACACACAAACACCTACTTGGATAACAGGAAGGAAACACAAATACGACATATCAAGTATGGCTACATTTACACTGATGAAGGCCTAACACAAACAAGGACAATATTCCCTCCAGAGCAGACAGTGTAATTAAGGACACAATGTATCAGTGTACACCATTTTACAAGATAAAGTATACACCATTTTACATTTAAATGTTCTTTTTTTTCTGTAGAAAAGAATGCTTATTCTTCATGGGAAAAAAGTATCTGGAGTGATATAGCAACTAAAAGTATAAATTATATAACACAATTATTTACCCATATCTGTTAAGTGTTAAGAACATGAAATCTGATCTCTTTGCCTACAACAAATAGCAGCACTGGTCAGTGCCATCAGCATCTGCTTTATCAGCTGTAGAAGTAGAGGTTTATTGCTGGATTCTCCTCAGCCTGCTTAGAACACCGTCACATACACGCTCAAGATTACAAGCATGCTCGCCAGCACATACATACTCAGTTTTCTGCATTATGATCATATACACACACACCATTACATACACACTCACCATCACATACACACACACCATTACATACATACTCACCATCACATACACACACACCATTACATACACACTCACCGTCACATACACACACACCATTACATACACACTCACCGTCACATACACACACACCATTACATACACACTCACCGTCACATACACACTCACCATCACATACACACACACCATTACATACACACTTACCATCACATACACACACCATTACATACACACTCACCGTCACATACACACACACCATTACATACACACTCACCATCACATACACACACACCATTACATACACACTCACCATCACATACACACACACCATTACATACACACTCACCATCACATACACACCTCATGCACATGCAACATGCAAACTTACACATGTATACTCCCATACGCACAGCTACAGCAGTTTAGAGTATACAGTCCCTTGGCACACGATTACTATGTAGCACTCTGTTTAAACATGATAGCACTACATCATAACTATGTTGATCTGATATACTGCGGTGATCTGGTATACCATGTTACATAACATATTTAGCTACATAAACATGTTTATATAGAGTCAAAAGGACATTACTAGCAATAAAGTCATGGCGTACCTTAGAATATGATACAGTCTAATTAACTATTACATTACATTATCCTAACAATATCATATCAGCATAAAATACAAGTGATATACGAGTATACCATAACAATGTTATACCAGTATACTAAAACAATTATATAACCAGTGCTATACCAGCATATCATAGCAGTGATGTACCAGTATACCAAAACAGTTATATTATAGTATACCATGACAGTTTTATACCAGCATACCATAACAGTTTTATACCAGCATACCATAAGTTTTATACCAGCATACCATAACAGTGTTATACCAGCATATCATAGCAGTGACGTACCAGTATACCCAAACAGTGTTATACCAGTATACCCAAACAGTTATATAATAGTATATCATAACAGTGTTATACCAGCGTACCATAACAGTGTTATACCAGCATATCATAGCAGTGATGTACCAGTATACCAAAACACTTACATAATAGCATATCATAGCAGTGATATACCAGTATACCACAACAGTGTTGTACCAGTATACCAAAAAGGTTATGTTACCAGTACCCCATAACAGTGCTATACCAGCATATCACAGCAGTGATGTACCAGCATATCATAGCAGTGATGTACCAGTATACCAAAACAGTTATATTATAGTATACCATAACAGTGCTATACCAGCACATCATAGCAGTGATATACCAGCATACCACAACAGTTTTATACCAGCATACCAAAACAGTTATACAATAGTATATCATAAAAGTGTTTATACCAGCATATCATAGGAGTGTTATACGAGCAAACCATAACACTATTATACCATTATACTATAACATTGTTATAACAGTATTATTCTATATACCATACCAGTGCATAAATACATCAACAGTATAAAATAAAGAATCAATTGTATTTTACATCATCACTGCATGTTAGGATATATATCATGTACTTCAAACAAGTACCTGTATATCAAAATGTAACATATGCCATAATATTTTAGATCACATCATATGAGTATGTCAGGAATTATGACATACTATTGTTACATACAATGTGTAATACAATATGCTAAGGCAGTATGTTACACATATGCATATCCTGACTGACTGACTGAGTGAGTTTGGTTTTACGCTGCTTTTAGCAATATTCCAGCAACATCACGGCGGGGGACACCAGAAATGGGATTCACACATTGTACCCAGTATATCCTGAAGGAAGATGTGAACGTTTGTTGTAAGCCAGTGTTTCCTGATGACTGTTTGACCAGTGTATTGCAGTGTTAAGACAGTGAAAGTGATAACAACAAAAACAGTTTCCAACAGTGTATCTAGCAGACATATCACACTTTGTTGATTGTAGACCTTGTTACTGTATGTCTTCAGACTTCATTAAGCAAAGATTGCAGGCCAGTCAGGTTGATGGGAGACAAAGCCCGTCTTAAACATCCAGGCTGACAGTGATCAACTGCTGACTTCACGTACACTCCCTTACTCTAAACTTATCAATCGTCACATACAAATCTCTCACAGTACATATCATATAGGCATCTACTTACAAACAATACAAACTGGAAGAGTCAGAACATCAGGATAAAGTTCCATCGTGTAGCTAAAATACAGTTAATATTTTGAGAGCTTGCAGACACTTGACCTCAGTTATCCAGTGTACTATATCTCCATTGTATGATCATATAGACCTTTGATCAAATTCCTGCCAGATTCCGGGATCAGTTATAATAACAGGATGCAATAAATTTTTAACCATATACAACTGTTCTTCCATGATGTAAAAAGCCAATAATAGACTTGCTTTGTTCTGAGGTACATCTGGGAACATCTTGAAGTATTTGGACTACCCTTCCCTTGTCCAGATAATCATGCAAAAATTCTCTCCAACTACAAGTTCAGGATAAACAGCCTTCTGACTGTGTTTAATCTATCAACGACTCACTCATACAAATGAATGTTAAGAAAGGGCATTTGGATTGGTTGTTAATTTCAACCTCTGGGAACTTCACATCTGGAACAAAAGCTTTGGTGATGAATGAAATCCAGGTATTTATCATAATCTAATAAACATACAGTATGCTGCAGAACCATGGTAATGGAGTGTAGCAGACTTGTGTCGCCATGGTAACATATATAGCCATAAAGCCCACAACCATGCTTCAAGGTGAAGGAGAGGTCACAGTTGACCAGCAGCTCCCTCCCTTGTATGAGCAGATGACTAGCTGACGATGCTGTCTCACAACAAAGTCCACTCATGCAGTCAGCCATTCCTTGAAACCTGCACCTCTCATGTCCGTGGTTTCTGGAATCAAGAACAATTTAGTTATGTAGACAAAACATATCATCAACAAAGGACAAGATGGTGATGGTACAGAACTACAACGAGAGACAAGAGACACATTCAAAGATGGAGGTGATGGTACAGAACTACATCTAATGACGAGGGATACATTCAAAGATAGAGGTGATGGTACAGAGCTACATCGAGGGACAAGAGATACATTCAAAGATGGAGGTGATGGTACAGAACTACATCTAGTGACGAGGGATACATTCAAAGATAGAGCGGATTGTACAGAACTACATCAAGAGAGAGACACTTACAAGCCTCCAGTTGATCACTTTCATCCATTCGTTCATCTCCTGCTCTGATGTGGCATAAATGTAGAATGTCCGCCAGTCAAACTTCAACCTGGACAACAAGAAAAGAAGCTTTAAGTACTGACTGAAGATCACCAAAACTCGTCAACACAAGTAATCCTCTTCTTAAGAAGATTTCTAAGCATATGTATAAAATGGAAGAATGTCATTGTAATACATGCAGTGGGCATCCTCTGCTAGCCTCCACTTGAACGTATAGGTCTTTGAGCTGATCCATGGATAGTTAAAGTAAGCATCTCTTAGTAAGTGAGTGAGTTTGTGTTTTATCACTGCACTCAACAGTACTCCTTTTCAAGTTCAAACTGTCTGTCAGTTAAATGTGAGAGTAAAGACCAAAGTGAAGTTTGGATTTACAACACCTTCGAGGTCTAGGCCAGCTGCAGGGGAGGTGAGGTAGCCTAGAGCTTAAAGTGTTTGCTCCTTACTCCATTTCTGGTGTCCCCGCCGTGATATTGCTGGAATATTGCTAAAAGCGGCGTAAAACTAAACTCACTCACTCACTTACTTGGCCAGCTGTGCACCCCATCTTTCAGTAGTTATAACAGTAAGATGTCAGCTGTATAGGGGCAACTCAACAGTCAGCTGTTCCTGATGATAACAGGATAGTAATACATGTACATGTGTAGGCTGAATGAAGCTCACCTGAACACATATTGCTTGTCTTTGTGGGAGAAATCACGGCTACATTCTGTGCAATGCTTGAGGTCAAGCGTTCGTATGGGGTGTTTGTCTGTATTCTGCTTGTAATACTTCAACTCGTGTTTCTGCAGTACAAACCACCGTGTCCTCCACGTCTGACAAAAACACAAGAATATTGAATTTTGATAACTTTTAGAATTCTAGTACTTGTATTTAAGGCACGAATATTTAAAATAGAAATTGTCAGTACTTTAACTTGTTCCAATCACCACAGTTTTTATCTGGTTACACAATATTAGGGATTTTTTGTCACTATCTTGTAGACTCATGCATGATTCTCTGAAAGGTATACAGAGGGACACCATGAAACCCTTACAATACCACCCGGAATGAGCTCTGAACCCTATTCCTCAGACTGACTGGTGGGTGCACATCTGATGTGCTAGTCATCTGACTGTATCCTCTGGTATTTGTGACTTTCGAAACAAGTTTTACATCTTTTACTGGAATTTCATTATCAATAAACTTAAGCTACACTTGTAAATTCATAAAACAAAAGGTTAAGAACTTTTCCTTGTCATGTCGTATATCCGCACCTTGAAGTGAGCTCCTATCTTGGTGAGGAAACCTTCCTTTGAGTTGATCTACAAATGATAGACAGGTGTAAGGCAAAACAGATAATACAAACTGTACAATATCAAGGCTTCATGAGAAGATGGTCACACTATTGCTTGCTTTATGGATCTGTCAGCCTTTAAAATGCAAAATTTAGAAGAAAAAAGGAAAATGACAATGGCTGTTTTGACCAGCAACAGTAAATATCACAAAGTCAGTAAAAAAATGCTATAGATCATCACATGACAAAAACAGAAATTTAATAGCCATTACACGAAACAAAACTACTGATATCTAAACATAATAATTCAAGGCTACTTATCTCTAAGATTATTAAAAACATTATGTACAATGCATTTCATTGTAATTATATATCTCTGATCTACGAAATAAAATCCTATGAAAATCCATGAGCAAGGGCCCAACTTACCGAGAAATCTGACTTTCGATCATTGGTATCGGCAGATGAGAGTTCAGCATGTACGGTGACATATTCGTACATCTGGGGCTCCTCGATGTCTCGTGGGTACGGCTGAGTCAGGAGCACCAACTGACCTACAACCCGAAATATCCACTGTCAGCGGAAAGATATGCTTGTCCAAAATAACATCAACTCATCAAGAAGGTTTTCTTCATCTGAAAGTGTAGGAACTGTTGTTGTCAAGCATTTGGTACAAAACTTTGAGGGTATGAGGCGCTTGCCTCACAGGCACCTTGGGTTGGGTACTGAGCATAAAGATGAAGTTTACACTGATCCACTGACTGGGATAATAAGAATGGATATGAGTAAGGATTTGGCACCTTATAAATAATCAAAATATTGTTGTTGTTGTTGTTGTTGTTGTTGCAATGATTAGGCATGTTGTTCAGTAAAAATGTAGATATCTCATTACTAAATACACTAAATAACTGAGGTCTCCATGAAGCCCTAACACCCACCAGACTCTCCCCCTATCAGGGGTTTGTTGTCAAAGTGAAACAGCAGGTCCTTTATTGTCTTGAATGTCCCGTGGCCAAACTTGAACTCTGTGCCATTCCATGTGAGATTGAAGTGTTTCACAGACTGGTCACATCTGAATACATGCAACACATGCAACACTTACACACACAGCTAAAACAGCAACTTAACAATACACAAAACTGAACTGTTCACAAAAAGTCTAGGCTATTTCTCTAATATTTTTAATAAGGGTACAATACAAAGCTTAATTGAGTAATTTCTTAGAAGTACAAGCACATGTGCACTTTAGCAATTTTGAATATGGTTAGGTCAGATGAACCATTAATCAGTCCCTCCTGGATTCTGAGATTGCAGAATAAATCGCAGAAATCATCTTTTGATGCAGAAATACTAATGGTCCGCGGAAAACGCATTTTCATGCAGAATACCTGCAGAATTTGCCATATTTCTGCCACGGATTTTACTTATTTTGAAAGTTGAATTAAGATTGACTATCAACCGAAATGAAACATAGGTGTTACTTTGACTGGTGATTTTTATTTTTTTCCCTCCTGCCTTTAGGTTTTCTGAGGACAAAAATTCGTAAAACAAGAAATAAAATTGGTCTGGCCGGAGTGAGTGAGTTTAGTTTTAAGCCGCTTTTAGCAATATTCAAGCAATATCATGGCGGGGGACACCAGACATGGGCATCACACATTGTACCCATGTGGGGACTCGAACCCGGGCCTTCAGCGTGACGAGCAAACTCTTTAACCACTAGGCTACCCCACCGCTGCTGGTCTGGCCTGAAGAATGACTTGTTTTAGTGGCATTCTAGAAGTTGGTGGTATAAGAAGAATGTTTTGCAGAATTTTGAAAAACAGGATACAGTATTTACTTCAATTTGCTGCGGAATTCTTAAAAATTTGCCGTGGAATCCAGGATGGACTGATTAACACATCAATGTGCTCCTGTTCTGAGATATGATACAAAGTCATCCATTGGTCATGATGGCCCAAGTTCTGAAGACAAGTCGGCCCTTAGTGAAGTCTATCTGTTGAGTATCACACCATATTGTTCCTTTTCCCTCTTATAATGTCAATGAGTAATACAGTGCATTTGAAATGGTCTCTTCAGAATCAAAGATTATCTCTCCCTCTCTACAACTCATTCAGTCTGGACAAGTAATCCATAATTTATATTACACCCCAGAAAAATCTATGAAGTTGATGAATACAGGTGAATCCATATGAGATACACAAAAAGTGTTTTAAATAGGTGTTATTTCTCGTATTTCTGAAATGATATACCACCTGCTGCAAGTAATAAAACAACATCACCTCCCATAAAGAAAGTACCAACATAAATCAAAGTTACACATACAATAAGGTAGAGCTATATATCTACACATACAATAAGGTAGAGCTACATATCTACACATACAATAAGGTAGAGCTACATATCTACACATACAATAAGGTAGAGCTATATATCTACACATACAATAAGGTAGAGCTATATATCTACACATACAATAAGGTAGAGCTACATATCTACACATACAATAAGGTAGAGCTATATATCTACACATACAACAAGGTAGAGCTATATATCTACACATACAATAAGGTAGAGCTATATATCTACACATACAATAAGGTAGAGCTACATATCTACACATACAATAAGGTAGAGCTATATATCTACACATACAATAAGGTAGAGCTATATATCTACACATACAATAAGGTAGAGCTACATATCTACACATACAATAAGGTAGAGCTACATATCTACACATACAATAAGGTAGAGCTATATATCTACACATACAACAAGGTAGAGCTATATATCTACACATACAATAAGGTAGAGCTATATATCTACACATACAATAAGGTAGAGCTACATATCTACACATACAATAAGGTAGAGCTATATATCTACACATACAATAAGGTAGAGGCTATATATCTACACATACAATAAGGTAGAGCTATATATCTACACATACAATAAGGTAGAGCTACATATCTACACATACAATAAGGTAGAGCTATATATCTACACATACAATAAGGTAGAGCTATATATCTACACATACAATAAGGTAGAGCTACATATCTACACATACAATAAGGTAGAGCTACATATCTACACATACAATAAGGTAGAGCTATATATCTACACATACAATAAGGTAGGGCTATATATCTACACATACAATAAGGTAGGGCTATATATCTACACATACAATAAGGTAGAGCTATATATCTACACATACAATAAGGTAGAGCTATATATCTACACATACAATAAGGTAGAGCTATATATCCCAGTAAAAGCTTTCCCTGAGATGGACAAATAGCCCCCATCACATATATAAATGTTCTACACTAGTCAAAGTCACAGTGTCAGGAGGAAATGTAGAGATTAGCAATGGTAAAACTTGGGTTTAGCAAAATTTGGGAATACAGATGTCAGAGTGAGTGAGTGAGTTATGATTTTAAGTCATCTGCAGTATTTCAGCCATATCGTGATTAAATTGGGTTATACGTTCATAATGCATACAGTTAGATTATAAAAACCTGTCAACAAGGGACAGTAAAAACAACTAGAATATCACAGATCTAGATGTAAATCTAGAATGTGAATCAAAAGTTTGTTAACTATACAATATAAAAAAGGACTAACCAACAGATCACAGATGCCAGGGAAAACAAGCTAAACAACTTAACATAACTGCAATATGGTTTCAAGTCATTATTGGGAATCCTGATGTAGTGCAGTGCATTCTCTTCAAACTTTGGCCCTTTGGTTATTAGTTGGCTTGTTGTTTCACATAGCACTCGGCAATATCCACCTGTGTGAACTTTGTCTTTAAGTAAGGAGTTTAGATCAGACCACCCAGTGCTGGACATGATGACTGACTGACTGAGTTTGGTTTTACACCGCTTTTAGCAATATTCCAGCAACATCACGGCGGGGGACACCAGAAATTCGCTTCACACATTGTACCCATGTGGGGATTCGAACCCGGGTCTTCGGCGTGACGAGCAAATGCTTTAACCACGAGGCTACCCCACCGCCCCGCTGGACATGATGAGCGAACAATAGATACATCATCAAACAAACCAGAAACACCACAACCTCTTGACCATCATGTCGTCCGTAAAACAACATGGACAAGCACTGGTTGCTGGGGATAACCACTGCATCCTTTGCCGAGCCATGATTGCAGCTGAAGGATCTGCTGCAGAGGCAAGTACAGTTACTAATTGGTACCACAAGATCGTTGTTCAGTACTTGTGATGCTGAAATGTACATCCTGTGATTTGTGAACTCACAAAACATGCGGGGCGGTGAGGTAGCCTCGTGGTTAAAGCATTCACTCGTCACGCTGAAGCCCAGGTTCGATTCCCCACAAGGGCATAATATGTGAAGCCCATTTCTGGTGTCCCCCACCTTGATATTGCTGGAATGTTGCTAAAAGCAGTGTAAAACCCAACTCACTCACTCACTAAACATCACTGACTTTAAGTGAACAGTAGTATACACCCGTCATGCAAACTGATACAATACCAGCTTGGACAACAGCACAATATTCAAATAAATAAGATAATATTGTGATAATAGCAGCAGGTTTCAGTCCTAACATGTTGTATCAGAGTTAAAAATACTTGAAGACGTGTGAATATTAGTCTTGAGGACAGATTGTAGAACTTACCACTTTTGTAACACAGGCTGAGCATTATCTGGGATTTGGTACCTTGTAACCCCTGGGACCCATTAAATAACACGTCAGACAAAACACAATACGGTGCAGGTTATCACAACAACATTCTTACAAAGCAACAGATACATTCACAGAGGTAGCCACGTTTCTCACCTGACTGAAATGGCATACTCCCCAACCTTGGAGCTTGCACGGAGCAGGTAGATACCATTGTTCGCATTCTGCATCAGCATACTTTCAGCAGTGTGACGATTGAGGTTGGGATGGAACCAGCTTCAATACAGAAATAACAGTGTTCTAAAGTTAAAAGCAAAGTCAACGGGACAAAGTTTTTGTGGTTTGTGATACAAGTCGATTTGACCATTATATCTGTCAACAAAACATGTGGTGTTAAGTTGAAAACAAAGTAGGTGACAAGTTTCTAACTGACAAAATGTAGGTGACGAGTTTCTAACTGACAAAAAGTAGGTGACAAGTTTTTAACTGACAAAAAGTAAGTGATGAGTTCTCAACTGACAAAATGTAGGTGACAAGTTTTAATTGACAAAAAGTAAGTGATGGGTTCTCAACTGACAAAATGTAGGTGAGAAGTTTTTAACTGACAAAAGTAGGTGACAAGGTTTTAACTGACAAAAAGTAAGTGATGAGTTCTCAATTGACAAATGTAGGTGAGAAGTTTTTAATTGACAAAAAGTAAGTAATGAGTTCTCAAACATGTTGTGTTAAGTTGAAAACAAAGTAGGTGACAAGTTTTTAACTGACAAAAAGTAGGTGACGAGTTTTTAACTGACAAAAGTAGGTGATGAGTTTTTAACTGACAAAAGTAGGTGATGAGTTTTTAACTGACAAAAGTAGGTGACGAGTTTTTAACTGACAACAAAGACATAATCAGGGCAAATTGGGGTCAACACATGATTACAGGATTCTTGCAGCAAATTTGACGAGAACATTTTGGCCACACAGAGACTTCTTATTACATTATGATTGTTGAAGAAACAGATGACTAACCCCAAAGCTGAAGTAACAGACTTGGAATTTTTTCAAAATTCAGGAAATCAGTGCAAATACAATATTACTTTTTTTTCGTAATTGCACCTAGAAATGGCTGACAAACAGAAAAAAATTAATACAACCCAATAGACAATGTTAGTATACTCATCAAACAATACATCTTTTAACATTACACTAAGTAGCATCACTAAGTAGTGCCTGTGTTCTGTAACAAATACATTACCTTATAAAGAATGTTTCATTACAACTACATATATTGGATAACATGTATACATGTATAGCACAGATTGGGGATCCCTAGACCATATACAAGATTTAAACATGAAAAATTAGGCAAACTTCTATTTCTATTTCAATGTGTTATACATAGTTTATATGTTGCAAACTATGTATATATTTGAAGCAAATGGAATTTATTAGCCTGTTGGTGGAATCTTTTACTGACTGCATTCAGAACCTGCTGCTAATAAAGTTTGGCTGCAGAAATCAAATTTAACATTTGTGCATTATGAACATTCCACCCACAGTTGTAGCAACTGGCCAGTCCCAGGGACAAGCTTGTCTTGCCTAACATATCCTTGTGTCAAGTCTTCCATAATGCATATATAATCGTTGTGTAATTTGATCAGACCCTTATCTTTCTAATAGGAAGTGTTATCTTTTGTTAACATTCTGTAATCTGATAAATCTGGTTACAAAGTGACGATTTTATTTATATAAACCTTTGACCTTAAGATGTTGGAACACTAGAGAAATTTAAAGGCAATTAACTAATCGTAGCCATCCTGAGTCCCCATCATGAAACTAATCATTTATCATGTTTATTGGACAATGCTTACATGAGAAATATTTGAGATTACAACTTCTGTGATACATATACATTTCAAGGCTACTTATAGCCTCTACATCAGGTGATGATGAGTCAAGAGTGAGTGAGTGAGTTTAGTTTTACGCCGCACTCAGCAATATTCCAGCTATATGGCGGCGGTCTGTAAATAATCGAGTCTGGACCAAACAATCCAGTGATCAACAGCATGAGCATCGATCTGCGCAATTGGGAACCAATGACATGTGTCAACTAAGTCAGCGAGGCTGACCACCCGATCCCATTAGTCGCCTCTTACGACAAGCATGGGTTACTGAAGATCAATATTCTAACCCGGATCTTCACGGGTATGACGAGTCAAGAACAGTCATCACCTGACGTAGAGGCTATAAGTAGCCCTGAAATGTAATGCTTAACCTCTGGTTCATAAACATACAGATTCAACGTTTTAACCAAATAGAAACAGATTAAGATATTGTTGACTGAGTAAAGTGCTACAATACACCCAGCATACTTACCCACCCGGTACATCATTAAATACAGGGCTAAAACTTCTGATATGTGAAATATCCCCAGAAAAGATTTATGTAAAAACTTGTCACCATGATGACTTACCTGAGTTTCTCCAGCTCATCAATCCGCTGACCCATGTTGACTTAAAGCCAGTCCCACTGAATATACCTGAAACAAAGCCAGCACACTATCATCTTTTTTGATGATATACATCTTGGTTTAAGCTAGTCCTACTGTTACACGAGTGAAACAGCAGCCACATCGCTATACCACCTTGTATACACTTTAATACCTTGCTGACTACATATATACAAAATGTACAGTGGAATCTGTCTATTACGGACTGGCCTGGAACCGACTCATTTGTCCAGATTGTAAAGCAGTCCGGATTTGACAACTTTTGTCCGTTACCATGTTCACTGCCAAGATGATTTACCTCCCTTTGTTAAGGACAACCAGCAACTTGAGTTCTTTTTTTGTTTTCTTTTTATACTCAATATATTATTTATACTTTCATTGGAAAAAGTCTGTTAACGTGAACTGCTTCTGCCTCTGTAAAGTTCCATGTAATACAATGTTTTCAGTCATTAACCATTGTGAACAGAAGTAACAGAGATGTTTATGCAATGGGCTGCTATTTTAGTCAGCTACATCTGGATTGCAAAGCATTGTTCTCATAGCAAGTTGATTGTCGGGACAGTTATTTTAGTCAGCTGCGACCGGATTACAAAGCATTGTTCTCATAGCAAGTTGATTGTCGAAACTGTTATTTTAGTCTGCAATCCGTAATTGAGGAGGGCCCGGAGTATAAAGCAGGCCTTAACGATAAATAAAGAACAATTTTGCGGTAACTCAGATAGTAGTCCGGATTATGGAGAAAAACGGATTCCACAGATTCCACTGTACCTGCATACAAAGAAGCTGCAATACCAACTACCAACGCTACACTGGTTATTTCTCCACTGACAGGGTAAACAATGCAGTATATATCTTGTATTATCTGCTGTTAATGGCCCATACATTAACATTAAAATCTGCAGAAAAAAGAAGGCAGAAGGCATACACCTTTTTGGCAGACAGGTGTTTCTTGTCTATGATAATTAATGAAAAATGTTTGTGTACCGGTACTTTCATAACTATCAGACAAATTATGTTCCTGTGACATGCTGAAATATTGGTATTCTAGACAAAACAAATGTTGTACAATGTAAGAATATAAAAATGCTGTATAAAGTTTAATACTTGAGTTAGATTGCTGCTGTTGTGAGAACATGGCTGTATTGTCCAGGTGCAAAGCAGGAACACTTGATCTCAATATTCACTTCCTTATTTTAATCTTTGTAACACAATGCTCCTTCATTTCCAAGTCAGCAAACAGAAATCACAGAAACCCAAATAAGGAAAACATAATCAGAAATGAAATTCTGACTGGTGCCAAATTTTGTCCCTGGTCAGTGGGTTGGCAACATAACCATTAACTTAAAAGTAGCATTTTTCATATCTTTAGAAGTAATGTAATGTTATGTAAATTTATTGTCACAAATTAACATATGTCTGCTTCTCCAAAACTAGTCTAACAAATAGTCCCTGAAATAATATCATTCACAGGGATTGGGAAAGGCAGGGGCCATGGGCCATTTTGCACATTAGAATAAAAAATGTCCCATTAAAATTTTGAAGTTTACTATTGATACAAGGGCAGTGGCCTATTCTAAATTCAGAAAATGGCTAGTGATCCTGAAAATGGCCCATTGTCAAAGTTCTCTATCCCAATCCCTGCATTCATATCTTAAATAAAACAACTATGCAAGGAAACCTATAAGTATTAAAGGAACCCTCAAGTTGGGGAAAGGGGTAAGGGGGTCCTTGTAATCTACATGGGACTGAAGGCGGGACAAATCAAACAAAGCATAACAGGACAACAGGATAACAGCACAAGTTAACATTGTAAATGCTCTAAATAATTAATGTGATAGACGTTACAATTCCCACTCTGCTGTACCTAAACAAGACTGAAAAGTACAACAGCACTATTTCCTTCCTCATGCTAAACAAAGAACATCACAACCATCCGACAATTGATTGATGGTAAATGTTAACAGGCCTCATGAGCTTTTCCCAATGATATATATAGCACTGTTGAAAATCTACATCCAGTGGATCGCTACTGTCAAAGCAGTAAAACTTCAAATGTTCTAACCTCATCTAACACCATCTGTTACTCCCCAGGTGTGTAAGCAGCACACAAAAGAATGTTTATACTAGATCTATGGTGGTAACAATGAAGACAATACCATGCCTGACAATGATGACAATACCATGCCTGACAATACTGACAATACCATGCCTGACAATGATGACAATACCATGCCTGACAATACTGACAATACCATGCCTGACAATGATGACAATACCATGCCTGACAATGATGACAATACCATGCCTGACAATGATGACAATACCATGCCTGACAATACTGACAATACCATGCCTGACAATACTGACAATACCATGCCTGACAATGATGCCAATACCATGTGTGACAATACCATGCCTGACAATGACAATACCATGCCTGACAATGACAATACCATGCCTGACAATAATGACAATGCCATCTCTGACAATGATGAGAATACTATGCCTGACAATGACAACAATACTATGCCTGACAACGATGACAATGCCATGCCAGACACAACAAATTCATGGCAGCTTCTGACATTATAAAACAGAAGGTGGCATAAGGTTACTTATACATCATGGACATAGCTTATAATATATTTTGTAAAACCAGCTTAAGTCTGGGCTAGTACAAGCAGCTGCACATACACATACACATGCATGCATGTCATCATATGAGCGAAATATTCTCAAGCACGACGTTAAACCCAATTTCACCTCACCTATAACATATTTTGACATAGTTACAAGATTGTTAACATATCTTCTACAAGCTAATGGCGACCACACTCTTGAGGTTATACAGACTATGACTGGCTACAAATCATGAAGAAATAATATCTGAACAAGGATATAAGATTAAAATCAAGCAAAGCGACTGTGATGACTAGATGGGGCAGGAGAGATTGACATTACAGCAGGATATCTAGATCTGCGTGCATCATATAATGGTCTCTATTCACCAAATTTCTTATATTTTATATAAGTAAGAAACAGAAAATCTTGTATAAACAACGACAGTCTTGTTGAAAGAATGTACCATTCAAATGTACATATTTTATAAAAATTGATAGCTTAATAGTTGAGGTAATATACACGCAATGGCTACAATGTCATTAATAATGTACCATGAGTATGTCTACGTTGAACTTAATTTAAGCACGTCAGTGGAACACTTCCTTTAAGTTTTGATACACATATACAAATGTACTGGTGCTGCTCTTAAAATACACTTACTGAAACTACACTTACTTAAGGTAGATAATCATACCAATTCAATATCTATGGCATTGAATACAGAACTAAATCATGGACATGTCGAGAGGCATCGCTGCATAGGGGTCACGGTCACTCATGTCAAATGGGGATTCCATTTTTTCATGAATGCGAAAGTTCGTGACTCACCCTGAGACACATTTAGGCAATCGGACAGTCACGTACCACAGTTTAGTGAAGTCACTAAACCACATCGAAAAGCGACAAAAATAAGACCACATAGACAACAGAACGTGAGTAAGATACACACATAATGAAGTAGCTAAACAAGATCTTGTAAGAAATCAATCTGTTTACCCTTACTGTTCCGCTCCTAGTCTCTGAGTCTGTGTTGATCTTTCCGGAGTGTCTTGGTGTTCTAAGGGAGATAACAGGGGAAGAAAAGTTGAATACCACTATAGGCAAACCCGTCAACTTGCTAGTAGCACCTTCCAAAACATTAATACATCCTGGTTGGACACAGTCGGCAACTTTTTAGCTAGGCCCAGACTAGTGAAAATTCTGAGGTACTTGGTTTTCTAGCTATTTTGCAAAAGACAGTACTCCGAATGGTCGAGCTCCGGACTATTTGGATCTGCAATGGTGCATGTACTTCCTCATTATAAATACTTTAAATGAACATAAGGTTTTGGTTTGGGTTGTTGTTTTCACTCAAATCCTGTTTCTTTGAGTTCACTGGTCAATGTTCATCTAAGCATGAGTTCCCTCATGAGATTCTGTTTGACAGGAATCACCAGACACAGTGAGAGATTCAAAGGGATTTTGGGTTGTGTGACGTCGAACACAAGGGTGAGTGAGTGAGTTGGTTTCACTGCGCTTTTGACCCCAGAAATGGGCTTCACACAATGTGCCCATGTGTTTAATCAAACATGACGACCGGGGGCACGCTTTAACCACTAGGCCCCACCACCCACCACACAGGACTAACCCCGTTATAGAACGGCGGTTTACACAGAAGAATGGGGAAATTGTAATGCAAGTTCAGATGAATATGCACTGAGGAAACACCAAAAGATTACATTCGATTATTTATAAAGATATTAATGGTGATTCGATTATGAACCCCTAACTCAATACATAACGTATGCATGGCCGTAGCGTTGCAGCATTGTTACCCTGCCTGTGGAGCAGTGCGCGCTCGATTTCCTATTTTCAGGTCAACACAAATCGTATAATTTAATCTGTTTTCATGCCACGTTCAACTATAACTAACTGTATAAATGTGCATAATACTAGACTGTGTGAGGAACGATCGACCACTCTTAGAAATAATTCAGGAAAGTTACGTACATGTTTTTATGTTTATGAATGGTGTTCATTTTTATGTCCTTTTAGTAACATTTTTCAGTTTGTATTTTAGAATATCTCCTACAGTCTTTCATGATTCTATAAAGAATCAGGGCCGTAGCTACCATTATAAAAAAAGCCCGGACTTTCACATGCTTGTTGCTAAAAAAGATGGGCAAGCCCTCAATACTGTCTAAATATAAAGTTTTGCAATATATCGGGCTTACACGAAAAAACATGGCTTGCTACGCTCGGGTATTGTTACTGTCGTTTAACTCACATCATGTGTATCATATTGTGTACCCTTTTTGAGACTTTAAATAAACTGTCTGTCCCAGGGCAAATTCTGTACTAAAAGCTTGTAAATACATCTCAACCTTATAACCGGGTGCCTGTTGAGTGAACAGAGGTATATTTCGGATAAAAGTTACTTGCCCAGGGAGAGGCCACATGTGCTATTTGTGCTTCTGTGTATGAAACTCTCAGGTGACCTCCCGACCACTGTCACCTGACTGTGACGCACGCGTCCACTGGACCACACGCACCACGGGTGACGACTGTTTCCTGCCTCTATGATACATATATATATACATATACATGTACGCGATTTGGCGTGGGAGTGTTGAAACAAAACTGACATAGGTGGAGGATACGTATTTCAGTAGTCACCGTGAGAAATCATCATGAGAACAACAGTTGATAATAATTTCTCAGATTCTGCATGGAAAACATTACTGGTATAGATCTCTGTATATCACAACTGTCAGTTGGAAGAACTATACAAGATGAAAACTGAACATCCGTGTAATAAGAAACCAGCCACGTGCGTTTGTTTTGACTATCACGCAAAAACATGACAGCTGTGATCGAATGCTGACCACAGGCTGAGAGGTAAACCCAAGCTGATTGATTGGCATTTTACAAGGTCGTCTAACTTTCGATATCAACAACTTCCGCGCCCAACGGACTGATGAGGAATCACGATAACGAACCACGCGGTTTCATTGAAAGGCTTGCTGGTTACAACCCTCAGTATCATTACAATGCTCCCTAACACCCATCAGTATCAATACAAGGTTACCTGGTTACAACCATCAGTATCATTACAAGGCTCCCTAACACCCATCAGTGTCAATACAAGCCTCCCTAACACCTATCAGTATCAATACAAGGCTCCTTGGTAACACCCATCAGTATCAATACAAGGCTCCTTGGTCACACCCATTAGTATCAATACAAGGCTCCTTGGTCACACCCATTAGTATCAATACAAGGCTACCTGGTTACAACCCTCAGTATCAATATGTACACAGCTCCCCGGTTACAACCCTCAGTGTCAATACAAGGCTACCTGGATACAACCATCAGTATCATTACAAGGCTCCCTAACACCCATCAGTATCAATACAAGCCTCCCTAACACCTATCAGTATCAATACAAGGCTCCTTGGTAACACCCATTAGTATCAATACAAGGCTCCTTGGTAACACCCATTAGTATCAATACAAGGCTCCTTGGTCACACCCATTAGTATCAATACAAGGCTACCTGGTTACAACCTTCAGTGTCAATACGTACACAGCCCCCGGTTACAACCCTCAGTGTCAATACAAGGCTACCTGGTTACAACCTTCAGTATCATTACAAGGCTCCCTAACACCCATCAGTATCAATACAAGCCTCCCTCACACCCATCAGTATCAATACAAGGCTACCTGGTTACAACCCTCAGTGTCAATACGTACACAGCTCCCCGGTTACAACCCTCAGTGTCAATACAAGGCTACCTGGTTACAACCTTCAGTATCATTACAAGGCTCCCTAACACCCATCAGTATCAATACAAGGCTCCTTGGTCGCACCCTTTAGTATCAATACAAGGCTACCTGGTTACAACCCTCAGTGTCAATACGTACACAACTCCCCGGTTACAACCCTCAGTGTCAATACAAGGCTACCTGGTTACAACCATCAGTATCATTACAAGGCTCCCTAACATCCATCAGTATCAATACAAGCCTCCCTCACACCTATCAGTATCAATACAAGGCCCCTTGGTAACACCCATCAGTATCAATACAAAGCTCCCCGGTTACAACCCTCAGTGTCAATACAAGGCTACCTGGTTACAACCCTCAGTGTCAATACGTACACAGCTCCCCTGTTACAACCCTCAGTGTCAATACAAGACTACCTGGTTACAACCCGCAGTATCAATACGTACACAGCTCCCCGGTTACAACCCTCAGTGTCAATACGTACACAGCTCCCCGGTTACAACCCTCAGTATTAATACAAGGTTACCTGGTTACAACCCTCAGTATCAATACAAGGCTACCTGGTTACAACCCTCAGTATCATTACAAGGCTCCCTAACTCATATCAGTATCAATACAAGGCTCCTTGGTAACATCCATCAGTATCAATACAAGGCTACCTAGTTACAACCCTCAGTATCATTACAAGGCTCCCTAACACCTATCAGTATCAATACAAGGCTCCTTGGTAACATCCATCAGCATCAATACAAGGCTACCTGGTTACAACCCTCAGTATCAATACCTACAAAGCTCACTGGTTACAACCCTCAGTGCCAATACAAGGCTACCTGGTTACAACTCTCAGTATCCACCCGTGAAGGTCCGGGTTAGAATGTGCCTTCAGTAACCCATGCTTGTCGTAAGAGGCGACTAACGGGATCGGGTTGTCAGGCTCGCTGACGTGGTTGACAACTTGTCACATGTCATCGGTTCAAAATTGCGCAGATCGATGCTCACGCTGTTGATCACTGGATTGTCTGGTCCAGACTCGATTATTTACAGACCGCCGCCATATAGCTGGAATATTGCTGAGTGCGGCGTAAAGCTAAACTCACTCGCTCACTCACTCACCCATCAGTATCAATACAAGGCTCCCTGGTAACGCCCACCAGTATCAAAAGACACCTACCTGCTTACATCCCGCAGTGTCAGTGTCATTAGTTGTATCGAGGAATGTGTTCATACTGCATGGGTCGTATCAAGATAAGTGTTCATACTGTATGAGTCGTGTCAAAGTACGTGTTCATATTGCATGGGTCGTATCAAGATACGTGTTCATACTGCATGAGTTGTATCAAGGTACATAGAGAATACTACACTCGGTCTCATTACATACGAATTATATTAAACGAGTGTCCTTCCTATGGCATCTGACCTCGTCTTAGATGCATTAAATTGACAAAATAGCGTATGTTTTGTTATTTTTATGGTTTCAAACCGAAACCGGTTTCATAAGAGGTTGCGGAAGAGTTTTGTACTGTAGTACAATATTTCCATGACGTCACACTGTAATGACGTCACTGCCTTGGTAACAGACGTCAGGATGCATGTCAGTTGCCATCGCCTCGTACAGCCTCCTTCAGTAAACTACTCCGTAGCACCCCGTTTCTTGGTTTGCAGTTGCTTCATTCGGCTAACATCACTGGTGGAAACATTGCGTTTATGTTTTTCGACGGATATAATGTCTCAGTTCGACTCATAATTAAACAGCGACACGGCAACGTTCGCAATGTTTACATTCCCACAATGCATTTAAGTTATAGAATGAATGAATTCACGTGTTCGTTATGAATGAAAAAATAGTTACGTCAGAATGTGACCTAATTGAGAGGTCATCGGTTATCCAATCAAATCGTTAGAATCTCAGGTCAAGTCGTTACGACACAGGTCAACGCGATACGACACTAGTGTGACGTACGAGATTAGCATGCAACTACCCATACGTTGACCACGTGGGTAATAAGTGTTCATACTGCATGGGTTGTATCAAGGTAGTACGTGTTCATACTGGATGGGTTGTATCAAGGTACGTGTTCATACTGCATGGGTCGTATCAAGGTACGTGTTCATACTGTATGGGTCGTATCGAGGTATGTGTTCATGAATACTGTATGGGTCGTATCGAGGTATGTGTTCATACTGTATGGGTCGTATCGAGGTACGTGTTCATATTGCATGGGTCGTATCAAGATACGTGTTCATACTGTATTAGTTGTATCAAGGTACGTGTTCATACTGCATGGGTCGTATCAAGATACGTGTTCATACTGTATTAGTTGTATCAAGGTACGTGATCACACTGCATGGGTCGTATCAAGGTACGTGTTCATACTGCATGGGTTCTATCAAGGTACATGTTCAAACTTCATGGATTGTATCGAGGTATATGTGCTCATACTGCGTGGGTGTATCACACTGCCACATAATTGTTGTAACTGCGTCCGGGCGTCAGTGTACCCTACAACAGTTATACCTACTCGATTTGCCGGTCCATGTTGTCCTAGGGAGTGGAAGGCTGGACTCTACACTCACCTGGTCCGTTGAGGGTTGTTAAGTCAAGGAGTGAGGCGGTGTGGGGCGACCGCGAATCCTAACTGTCCACATCTCAATCATGCACTGGCGCACATTCAACTCACATAGGTTTACTTTGTCTCGGTCCACCTCTCTTGCTACAACTTCATCGTTTTGCTTCGTTACACGGTACATTTGACCATGAACTCATGTGTGTCGATGAATCATCCCTTTACAACTGTTCTTGATTGTTTTAACGTAAGCTTAATCTGTTCTGTCTCTCATGACGAATGTGTTCTCCTCTTACCATCTAATTAAATGGCAATGATCACGCAATACACACATCTCTATCGATTTCTTGCATTCTGTCTTCCAATGAACAAACATCGGCGACATTGAATAACCGCAAATAAAAAGAAATTGTTATCTTCTAACGTTTTAGGGATGCATTTCTTCCTTATAACATTAATGATGGACGATGTCTGCTGCACATATATCGATGGGATCTAAACCCTTCTCCTCCCGCACGTACTGATAGCTTACGGTACAGACTTTCTGGTTCTTCATCATCTTGTTCTTCTAAAGAGTGTAATACTGTATTTCTTCTTCACGGACTTAATTAACTGTTGACGTGTTGACATTAATCAAGGAATATTTTATTCAGTGTTAAGGTCATAGGCCCAAACACAGAATCCTAACACTTTACTATATTCATTTTTCTAAACATTGTAACAAACATTGTATTGTAACATATGTTATATTTGGGATTACACTTTCTTTGTAAAGTACAGATTCTAGTACTTTTGTTGGATTGAGTCCCATCCGGGATTCGAACCCACACCCTCAGAGTCAGGCACCTAATCGCCAGCACACAAAGTCAGAACTTCAGAAACATTGTATTCATTAATAAAACAAATCGTTGGTAAATATTTAATTATGATAGGATCATAAGCAGCAATAATGATAAATCTGACACGCCACGATATGTTATCATATTTCGTTTTAGCTGGTTATGGTATATTCCCTTTTCGAATTCCAATTCCACTTTCGTCACTCCCCAAACAAAATGGCGGCCCGGGCAGTACAACAGGGAGTGAAACAAGTGAAACCTATATTATCAACCGATCGTACAGAAGCTAAAAGGAGAGTGCTTAACCTGTACAAAGCATGGTACAGGCAAATCCCGGCCATCAGTAAGTAGTGGCACCTCGCTTCTTGGCATATGAAACCAGCGATTGATACGGTTCATCCAACGTCTTTCTCTTCAAGACCAAACTAAATCTGTGTACGTTTAAAAATGATACTTCGCAAAGAACTAGTCCGAAAGTCAATACACGTCACTATTTGAAGTATTATCTTCAGAAAATGGTCAGGCAAGTTCAAGACATTTAGCTAGCACATTTGTCGCTTCCCTGAAGTAGCAAACTGATTCAAGGGAGATAACTACGAGGAAGGTCAAATGAGTCAAAATATGTATGACTGGGCCTAGACCTAACAGATATTCATCATTTACTAAAGTATTTATCCATGACATGATCCTGTGACATAAACATGCATTTCATACGTCAGTGATAGAAGGATGCAGGTTACAGTAGCAAAGCAAATTTATACTGGTGCACGGAACTTGTGTTTATGCAAACAACAGGGATTCCTTTGATCATGTTGATGTTTAAATTGATAAATAGGTAGGTTACAATATTATTAATATTGTGAAATTGCTATTGAAGGTAACAAGATAGTTACAGAGCAATGACTTCAGAGTTGACTGCCACTGATAATGTCTCGAAGGCTCCATCTCAAGACAACATGCTGAAGACCAATTTCTTGACAAATAATGAAGAGCTGATTTACATTGGCACACATGGTCTGCATGGCTAAAAGCTGTAGAAGTTTGTGTGTCATAAATCATATTGACAATGGTTAACCATCCACTGTCATGAAAAATGTGCAAAGTAAGCTCTATATAACATTTTGTCCCACATGTAAGGTTTTCACATGGAAAGTGAAACATGCTAAAATGTACTGTTGTGGTTTGATAGTTATTTCTAAACAAATGCATTTTCCGAAAGGAAATTATAGTGTTCTACATAATATACCATAAGATTCTACAAATGTTAAAGTGAATATGGTGCATAGAATACACAACAATATTTGAGGTAGTCTTTGTAGGGATATCAACAGACTCTTAGTTAACCAATTAACAGGACAAAAAGCACTTAAGATGGATAATGAGTTTATGTAGGTTATGATGGATGTCAAATATGGTTTAGAAAAAGTGAGCTTCATCAAGTCAAAGACCCAGGTCAGTTGTCCACATGGATTCACCATTTCTGGTGTCCTTTGCCATAACATTGATGAAATAATTACTGCTAAAAACAGCATTATACAACACTCATCCTCACTAACACTCACACACACCCTCACTCAAACTCACATGCACCCTCACACTCAGACACACCCTCTCTCACTATTATTAAAACTCAGTGTTTTATTTATGGGAACTATGAGATGGCTTTAAACGATATTACTAATGTACATACTAAGGCTGTTAATGTACATACCCTATCATTTCAGTTATTACCGTGGTCACTAGCGAATATTCTACAGTGTTTTTAAATTATTTTTATTTCGACATAATGAATCAGGGTTAGGTAGGTAGTCACTACTCCTTTAGAGGTCATTACCTAGTTATTTTGTTTTAGTTACCTAATATTAGTGATACATATCATATTAAGCAACATTTGTTTTTTCAAACATATTGTGAATTGTTTGTTTCTTTGTACACCAACTGGATTTGTTTTTACTTAAAATGATATTGCATTGCACAAGTTTACCATGATAATAGTTCTTTATCTATCTTTATCCTGTTTTTGTAATCATGGTAACATCTCATTTCTTTCAGTGAAACAGTTCGACATCCCAGTGAGTGTGGCACAAGGGAGGGAAAAGCTGAAGGAGGAATTCCTCAGGAACCGACATGTTAATGACGTCAGAGTCATAGATCTTCTTGTCATCAAAGTGAGTTGTTCTTGGTGCATATAGTATTTTCTCACAAGCAATAACATTGCTCTTACAACTTTAACATTAATAATGATTGCAGGGCAGATTGGATCCACAGTACCTCATTATTGTGGTCACCAGATGACTATAGAAATGATTTGGTAGTTACAATGTGTGATGGATTGTTTCTCGTTTCTCATGTCTTCCACTGGTTTGCCTGGCCCCTGCTATAGCTGGATGAAGCTGACCATAATGCATAACAGTAATAACTACTGCTATCTTAAAGTCGATCAGCTCAGTCACAGTAGTGAGCACTAATAATGTAGGTGTTCAGTGTTTGTTTCCTATAGCAGCAGTAGATGAGTTATTAGCTCACCTAAAACAAAGGTTTGTGTGAACATTTTGTGTGGCATTCTCTTTTATTATAAACATTTACATTTTTTCTGCTTCTCCTCAGAGCACAAGTATTGAAGCCCATTTCATTTACTGTCATCACAGAATCTTAATGTGAAAAGAAAGTCCATGTTACTCAGCAATTGCCTGTCTTAATGTATCCTTAATGTATGGCTATGATAAGTAATGTTTCAGAAAACGAGAGCGACTACTGCCCACGGACATGTAATACAATTCTCTGCTTTCTTTGTAGGGTCAAATGGATCTAGTGGAAACTACTGAAGTGTGGAAGCAGAGAACTCACATTATGAAATATTTCAAGGACACAGAGGAACCAAGACCAACAGACTTCATGTCCAAATTTTATGATGGTCATGAATAACACTGATCATATTAGTGCGTGTGAGACTTTTCAATTTCAATGTGTAGAGCATGGAGCCACAATGGAGTGCTGAGATAGTGTTGTTTGTAAATACAGACTGCATTCATGGATGTAAATTAATAAAACTGTTCACATACCTCTCTGAATTATGGTAATTTCATACAGTGTATGGAGTACCAGTTGTGTAGGAAAGGTGGCTGAAATGATCAAGCAATGAAGGATGTACAGAGCACCCATATTTATATGCAAGCATGTATGTAATTATTATTAAGTACAATTCTTTTTAAGCCAAAAGGCAGTCTTTCAACAAAATATTTAATCAGGCAACATTTATTTGCAGGCCTCAAATGCTAGCTTGTATCTGATGATGAAAATTAAAATATTGGCCACAATGCTGTCATCTAGTAAATCCAACAGCCATCCATGTGGACATAGTGTCTAGTTTAGGGGAAGCTACTCCTTCCCTTGCCACTGATAAAGGAGTTCTAAGGAATGACCACTGCATGCAAGGGTTTCACCATGCTGAATCCTGAACAGAAACACTTTTATTACATTGTCTCTCTTACAAATTTACATTGTTTTCAATCAGAACCAGCTGTGTTTGTTGAGCAATTGGTAACCATGGATTGTTCTTGGGTTCACCACGACTAACCAGAGACAAAACTGAAAGCAGTGGAAACACCTAATGTCTCCTTCAACAAAGAAGGCACAAACTGTTCCCTCAGATGGCAAGAGGATGGTTTCGTTTCTCTTGAATTCGAAAGAAATCCAACTTGTGGAAGCCCCCCTGAAAAGTGTAACCATTAAAAGCATATATTGTACTAAACTGCTCAGGCAGCTGCATATATAATTTGTTACACAATTTTTCACGACACATCACATTTGGTCTACTAGTTCAGGCAGCTGCATGAGAATATTGTCTGAATGTGGAAAGATGGAGGTGTGTAGTTCAACATGGACAGTGGACGTGTTCACAGGTCTGATGTCACCATGGCAGAAATATGGCTTTGAACACCTTGAATATCATCCGTATTCACCAAGTTCAGTACTATCCAACTTCCATTTGTTTAAAACAAAATGATCTGGCCAGCACTATGCAAATGATGCAGTTTCTGCTGTGGAGGGCAATAAACACCACGTGGGAGGAAGCCCAAACCAGTTGGATCCAGGTACGCGGAAGTGTTGGCCAGAGTATGTGCATGAAAGATGGAATAATATTTGAAAATAATTAGCTACCAAAACGTTCAAAGTTAGTCTTGGAACATGTAAGCCACACCAATGATCATTGGTATGTTAGCATTTCATCTATGCTTATTATCTCTCAAAGAAATATTGCAAGTCTGTATCTTGTGGCAGAATGGGCTCCAGTGTGTCTCGTGTTTGTCACAACCTGATAGGGATTGGATGGTTGTTGTATGAGCTTGCTAAATGTGTCATCAGGAAGGACTGTTGCTCATGCTTTCATCAACGGACTTGCTTTGTGAATACTTAATTATATCCAGGCTGACATCGTACTGATAACTTACATGTCAGTTCCCAGATAACAATGGTACTGGGGTACATGAAACACACTTGTGATTCTTATAATGAAGGTTGAATACTGAGCTCTTTGTTGACTATACATCTGTGCATAAAATAAGCACCACCCTGCATTTTTACCAATTAATTTTGTCTGAAATGAAATTCTAAACCCTTTCCAAAAAATCACCTTTATAATTTTATAGAGCAAGCATTTAACATTTCAAAAGCGAAAACATCATTGAAATTACCATGTATTTTAATTAGGATAATTGCCTATATTTAAAACGGGGTTTTCTGTCCTAAAAGAACTAACCTTATTTTGAAAAGTAAAAGTAATAATTGATTGTTGTGTGGCCTATAAATTCGTTATTTATTATGAATGGATGAAAGTTTGTAAACTAAGATTTAGGAAAAGTACAGTAAAGCTAAAAAAAAGTAAAATTTTAAAATGCAGTAAAAGTTGCTTTACAAACAAAACAAATGGATTTCAGCTGTAATTAACAGTATCCAGCAAGGAGACGTGTGTATTCATTACAATAAACTCAAGATCATAAAAAAGTTTATTCCAAAATCTTATTAATGTGGCCTTTTAAAGTTTTTGTCAATTAGCAATTTGAATTGTTGGAAACATTCGGGTTCTTCCTGATTATGCATAATTAAAGCTTACTTGATGTGTAAATGTCATCTTGGTATAAAACAGAATTGTTATTTTTAGTCAATACTTAATTCAATTGTGTAGTTTGAGCAGGAGAGCAATAGTTATTTTGGGTAAAACTTCAGTCCCATCACATTTTCATCAACATATTCTTTCATTAAGAATAGAAAAGGTTATGGTATTTGTAAAACTGTCAGTGGCTAAAACTTCTTTAACTACAGGTTGATTAGATTGATGGCAATACCCTAAGTTTTCACATCTTATTTTCAAATTAGGGTGGTGCTTATGCACGGGTGTATATGTCACAGAATACCTCCGTAAACTGAAGTCTCAGTCATTGGCCAGTTTCTTGTTCGGTCGAAGTGCCCAGCCTATCGATCGGTTTCGCTGATGTTTCGTACTACAGTGAAACGACAATACCGGGAAGCTTGTTATTAATATCCTGACTCGTGATATGGGGCTATGAAATATCTCCCGATATGCTGTGTTCAGTGTGAAAGGCAGTTGTTTTTTGCATGTAGTATAGTCTGTCTTCTCATAGTTTGCATTACCATGAAAACAATCTGATGCATTAAAATCTAAGTGGAAAAAAGTCATTGTCATCTGGCAGTGTGAATCATGGCTCATGCTTTCAATCATTTGTGTGTTTGGCCAATACTACCATTATATACACTGCTAAAACGGAAATGCAAAGGTAGAAAAAAATGGAAATATACGAATATCAGCAAAACTCTGTATGCAAAAAGAATGCTTGAATTGGAAGTGATTTGCAAGGGTAGAATGAAATATGCCCCCAAAAATACCAAAGTGGTGAAAAGGCAACCACCACATTAATATGAAATGAACATGCAACATGAACTGACAATGGGTTTTAAATTTGTCTCTCATCACAATTGTACTGGAAGTGAAAAGTGAAGACATGACCCAACAGCAGCTCAACGCAACATCAACCAACTGCAGATAGGCTACTCGGCTTCGCTAAGGACCATTACATTTGCGCGAGTTAGTTTTACGCCACTTTTAACAATATTACAGCAATATCATGGCGGGAAACACCAGAAATGGGCACCATGTGGGGAATCGAACCCGTTCTTTGGCGTGACGAATGAACACTTTAACCACTCGGCTATCCCATCACCCACAATTACATTGGAACAATGATCAGACTCAGGGATCAACACTTGACCTACCAAGATTCAGTTGACCAGGTGTTAACGTCAGTGCAGGGAGTGATCACAACAGCAACAGCCACAGAATCTCCGAGAGTTAGCACTAGAACTGCAGGAATAGTGGGGGAACATTCCCCCAGCCAGTATTCATAATCTGGTTCTAGACTCTCATGGGGTTGGGGGCCATCCAAGACATTGAATACAGATGACCTTGACATTCGATTGTTTAATGTGTGCATGATGAACCTTGGTAAATGACAATGACTTGTGCAAGATTTGATTTATTACTTTATTATGAACTGTTGATAATTAATGTCATTTATATATATAATACATAAAGTATACATCTGAAAACCATTTTTTAAGTTCTTATAGCTGTAGACTGAGTATATATACTGATTTGTATATGTGGCTGAAATATTGCTGACTCAGTGACTGCAACAGAAACAATGCATTCAGTCCTATTTGGCACGGTACAACTTGGCTGTTACTAATCCATGGAAATGGAACAATGTTGTTACACATCACATATCACAACATTGTGGCAAAATGAAGTTGACTTATAATGAAAGTGTCTGAACAAATGTTGTCCATGCCATCGGAATATGATGATACAGTCCACTAAACCACCTCTTAACTCTCCTCTTCCAACCAGGATCAGTCCAATTTTAACATGGAATACAGACAGGTATACCATATACAATAGTAAGAGTGAATGTGTTCTGAGGCAATACACAGACAGTTTCTGCACATCTGTCTCATGTATTAATTCACAGCCTCAGCTTGGTTTACAAATGTTGATGGCAAAATTGTTAATTCCTGTCAATGTAGCTTCCGGTATTTTATTATGTTGTGACATGTATGATCTCTTCAGCATCTGATTGAGAAGATTGTGCCTGTGTGCATGCCTATTGATCAAGTTGCTTATTATGACCCAGCAACGGTTGCTAAGGGCCACTTTTTCACCCAGCTACTAACTGGGTTTACATGAGCTCTACATGGACCTACATCTCAACAGGGTAACAAACCTTGTACACATCTGCCATGTAACACACACACATATACTATCAAATAAAACAAAAGGTCGACATGTCAATTAAACCTGGTTTATTTAAAATAGTCACTTATCATAATGCAATATTGCCATAGAAGTTAATTTGTAGGCCTTAACTGGCCTCACAAATACGAACACTTACATGCTTGAAAGAGACCATCTAATGTGGTACAAAATGACTGGTTTACTCTGCACCATTGTGCACTGGACATACATCATAAATATTCTTTTTAACTACAATCCAAGATTTGAAAAAAACAAATTGAATTACACACAACTTTATCTGATGCATCATAATATAGTGAGAATTCATACTTCAACATTTTGATTTCAGCTGTGCAAACTTGAAAAGACCACATAAAGACTACTTCAGTCTTAATACCAAAAAAAATCAATACTGTCAAGTAGACTTATTTAGTTAACTCAAGCAGCTTCAGATGGAAAGTCTTTCTTGATATATTTGGGGAGTTCAACTACTTAAAATAATCGACTAAAACCCAGATAAAAAGATTTTTTACAACCAAGTCAACTTAGTCGAAAATGAATATAATAGTTGAAACAGTAATGTCAATACAAATTTGCAAAAAATGAAGAGTTACTTTAGGTGACAAAAATGAATAAACAATAAGCTCATGCATACAGTCTTTCAACAAAATTGCATATGTACAATATTAAGCAAAATGTTTTGCCCCAAATGCCTGACATTAATGCTTTTACAGTTATCACTGATAGCTTGAAAATAATCCACCAGGAAATGGTAACATCAAATTTAAAACTGACCTATGGGGACACTTCAGTGGGAAAACACTGCAGTCGGGAAGGGGCTTCTGCACGGACCAAATACTAATAAGGTTGAAAAAGTATGTTACATTCATTTCAATCTAAAACAACTTAAACCTCGATCTGTTTTCTAAGTTTGCACATCAGATCTTAAAATTGCTATTTCATATACATCACACAAATAAAAGCAGTTTGTACATGTTTCACAAGTATTCCCAAAATGGAGGTCATTATGACAAATTCATTACAGGGTTTATTCTGACATTTACACTGAGACGGAGCCAATGTGTAGCATCTTAACAGGTGTCCAGTTATGCTAGACATCTACTTGTCAGCTTCACCCTCAGAACCATTATCTTCCTTCTTCTTCTTACTACACCTGAATCATAAGATCACTACATCATCATCAACTATTTCAAACACAAAAACAGTAGCACAACTTACATAATGTTTCATGACATTTCTGTCAACATAGAGCAGTTCTATGCTCCATATGCTCTTGTTTGATATTCATTTTTTCATTTGACATAGGCGTAGCATACCACATATCTGATTTACATTTAATATCATGGGCACTCAGGTTTCAGTTTATACCTTCGAAGTAGGGCAACTGATCCAGATCAAATAATCCCTTACAAACAACTGCCAAACTTTAAAGACGTTGCTATTCAACATTGCTACTAAATGTTCTGCATGTCAAAGGAACATGGATATTTGATAAATTATAAAATGACTCAAACTTTTAAAAACTGATATCTTTCTGTGTACTTTGAAATTATCTCAGTATGGTATCATAATAACACAATATCAATCAGTTTGTATCAAGATAAAGAGATTTGAAAGCAAGAGGACACTTTTGTGTGTTTTCCTTTGTATCAAGTGTCAGTGTGAAAGTTGTCAAATAGATACTTAAAAAACTTAATGCAAATGTGAAAATAGTATGGCATTGCATATCACACAGCGATGAGCTTACATCTGTACAGTAATGTCCGTGTAAATAATCAACATAGCAACCATTGCTATTAACATTTCAAATAAATCTTAGTATCAACCCTTGGACTTCACAGTCTCCTAAATCAACATGAACAAACTCACTCATCGTTATCACTGCCCCCAGAAACTGATACTGATCGTCTTTTCCTATCTTCACTTCTACTCCTCTTCGACCTGCTCCTAGACCTTGACCTCGAACGAGACCTTCGTCTGTGCTTCCGACTTGACCTACTTCGAGACCTTGACCTTCTTGACTTACTTCTGGACCTGGATCTTCTTCTGGACCTGGATCTTCGAGACCGACTGTGGGAACGTCTCGATCGTGATCTTGACCTGTGTCTCCTATGAACAGATCAGAAGTGTAACAAAAATAAAATAAAACAGTCCTAACTACCAGCATTCCATAAGCTGCCTACTGAACAAAAGAAACCAAAAGTACAGTGAAACCTTTTGAACATTTTATCATATGGTATACCAATCAGTGCAATACATACACCCAAGATAATAAATATAGCTTTAATGTATTTTGAGGCTTCAGATCGGTAGATGAATTTGACAAACATGTGGACAAAATTCTGTTGGGACCACACCCTGAAGGGTTGGCCAGTTGATACCTAAGGTTAATGAATCAATCATTTTCTGAAAAAAAGAAAAAATCTTTTAGTTGAGTAAACTGTTACAACCTTTCAGATAATAATTCCTCCCCATCCCATCCCAGAAAACAATGCCTCACATAAGTGAAAGAAAGGAAAATAAAGACCGACCTGGATTTTGACCTTGACCTCCTGGAGCGCGCGATCTTGATCGAGATCGCCTTGATCTCTTTTTAGAACGTCTGTCACGAGACCTTGATCTTGATCTACAAATAAAAAGTAACTTCCTTAACCAGTAAGCTTGCACAAGTGAAATATCGAGAAGCTTTTATGTAGTTTAAGTTTAAAAGTAACATCAGATATCACATAAAATGATGAATTTATATCAAAGATGCGGTTCTGCATTACCTCTTGCTGCGACTCCTGGAGCGACGCCTCTTTTCTCGGCTCCGGCTGCGACTTCTACTCCTGCTCCTTGTGCGACGACGACGAGTTCTCTCCTCTTCTTCGCGAAGTTCCCGATTCTTTCTCATCTCTTCCCGCTCTTTCTCACGTTGTGTGCGACGGTCAGCAACCATTTGCTATGAAATACACAAATATTATAAAGAAACAATTTAAAGGTCACATGCAACGTAAAACACAACTTTTCAGATTCTGATACCTTTCAGTATGGACTTAGAGTAACAAATTATCAAAAAATGCCAATTCAACTTATAAAGTAGAAAAATAACGCTGGGGTGAAAAGTGGTTTCCACAGCTGTGCTGCGCTGCACTGCAGCATGGTGCATGTGCAGTGAATAGGTTTGCGCAGCTTGAAGCGGGGATTCCCAGATTATAAGGTCATCAGCAGGAGTAGTCTGATCTTAGTTGTGTACACAAACAACAAATAGTAAATCATCTACTCGTTACATAAAAGAACCTTGTTAAGGATCTAGATCTACTCAGCTATGTGACAACCAGTGAAGCGTTCGACATTTCAGGACGAAAAACCTTCGCTGGCGGTGAGTACTCGGAGTGGGCTTTGATGTGAGCTCTTTTTCTAATGTTTTGCCTTTTTGTTGATGTTTCACAGCCGCAAGCTTTTTAATGATATGACGATAGATTACCGATTTAACTGTTTATACTATTTCACCACACGTTCTTCTTACGGAGTCATTTTCTCAGTTCGATACTTAAAAACGTCATTATTTAGCATTGTCAGAATTTCTTACTGTGATATAGATATGCCTCTGTCCCTGACAAAACTCAATGTCTGCTTTATTGACACCTATGTGTCTGCCTGCCTGTCTGCTAATGACAATATGCAATACACAACTTCGATCACTGACCACATGCAATTAGAACTTTACACCTATCAGGCTATACACCATAAACAAAACGCATTGATTTATGGCTCCTGCACGGGAGTTCTGTCTCTGTCACATTATGTAACTACACAGACAGGCAGGTGTGATACTTGTATACATGACATGTTAAGATGTCTGTTGATTGCTAAACGTTATACACAAAAAATGAGCATGTATTTACAAAACCCAACATCTCTATACACACAAAGAGCCCTGAGCGTATCGGCAAATGAACCAGCCAATGAAAGTTTTCGTTACACTTAAGTGCATGCCCACCCTCTCTGACTGGGTTCAGTATCTCGGGTGCTTCGTTTCGAGGGAAGTAAACACAAGTACAAAATATTGCACTTTTGACTTGTAATAATACGCTTATAATTTTGTTTATTTGTTTTTTCATAATCAGCAATGTATATTATATGTCATGAATAAGTGATAATTGTGTTGTAATTATGCTTGTTTTTTTTTGGTTGCATGTGACCTTTAAAGTAAATTGACACTTCCAGTCTTACACAATATTACTTGTATTGCCAATAACAGTAAACTTTATTGGCCATCTTTCTTTGTTCTACTAACCTTGAGTTCATCCAGTTTCTCTCTGATGGTAATAAACCCAAGATGAAGTTTTCCACCAAAATGATCAGCAAGACGTCTGTCGTTGTCATGGATACCAAGGTATGCTCCACACACCTCACACACTCTCAGTTTCTGTTGCTGATAGCTTGATGCAGGCATAGAGTTTCGGAACTCAATCTGAAATATGGGATGGTCATGTTACCAAACTGAAAAAAGAAACCTACAAGGAAATCAGTACCTGACATTTGAGTTACCAATCATCAGCGTGATAGATTTAGAGATTTCAAAGAGACTTGAACATTCCAGTTATCCTTTACTCACCTCAGCCTGACTCTTTTTCTTCTTCAGCTCTTCAACTTCCTCCATGAGTTGGAGAGACTCCTCAACCTTTCCCTCATTGCCTATGTTCTCTGCTTGGGCTAGCTTTGTTCCAATCTGCTCTCCCAATTGATGGATCATCTCAGCCTGCACAAACCATACATCATCACAACTAGGCCTTACACATCATAGATCATACTCACCAAAGAAAGACTTACAAACATTTTTCTGGGATGCCACAACTTAAAGTGTGGTTTCAAATATGGATACTGTTCAAAAAGTTCATAACATAACACAATTACTCTTAATTTCTCAGAGTACAGACAGGAAGTGATGCAAAAATGAATGACTCTATAATTTTTAATATCTGTTCTCTGAAAGATTCATATAAATCATACAGTTTCTAAAAACGTCAAAATGAAAGTAACCTGTTCATAGGTGCAATAAGTATGTGATACATACCTTTTGATTGGCCTCCTCACTCAGTTCCTCTTGAGTGTCCTTCAGTCTTCGTTTGGCCAATTCAGTCTTGCGATCCACCTCACTGATGAAGCTTGACAGGTGCTCCATTGCCTGAAATACCATACTCATTAAAAATACAGCCACTAAACAAGGTTAATGTTATTATTATATGATATTTATATAGCGCACATATCCAGGCACAATTATATCTTTTAAATAGATTTAACTAGGTATCTGCATACAAAATAAAAGAAAGATTAACAGCTTGCAGGATCATAATATACATAATAATAGTACAGTCAACTCTCGTTAATCCGACACTCGTGGTTGCAGAGAAATATGTCGGATTAACGAAAATGTCGGATTAATGTATTTGTGTTAAAATATCTATGTTTTCTAAATGTCATGACCGTCCTACTGTTGCATGCATATCAGAAATGGCAGATCTAGTTATCTTCATCGTATGTAAGAATATTCACAGAAATGAAAAATAACAACAATACATCCTTGTTATCATTTATTAACATTCACAGATGGCATAACATACATATATAACTCACATAATCAATCAGTTTCATATCTATTTCATAACCACATTGGCACAAAACTCACGTTTGTTTTTACCGCATATCAGCAGCCATTATGACCCGGATATTGAATATGTTACAGTTTCCATACAACTAATTCCATACTGACATGGGGACGTCTAGTGAACAACAAGAAGACAAAGTCATCAATATCCCCTGCAATGGCAAAATACTCTTCATGATTATGTCTACGAGTTATGATTATGTCAAATATTTAGGTGTGTATATAGAAAAGTGGAAGGAGAGTATTGAAAGGGTTTTAAAGGTTCTGCTCCAGAAAGGAGCACTATCACCAATTTCAGTCTAAATCAAACTTGTTTCCATTGAAATGCCAAAAATATTTTATTAAGAATTCCAAAACTACCAAAAGGCACCAGTACACCACCAGATCTATCTATGGTGAAGTTTGGTGAAGAAACATTGAACGGTTTTAGAGTACTGCTCCGGAAAAGAGCCCTACCACTAATTTCAGTTTTAGTCAAACTTGTTGCCATGGAAATGACAAAAATATTTAAATCAGAATTCCAAATCTACCAAAAGGCACCAGTACACCACCAGGCCAATCTATGTGCCAAGTTTGGTGAAGAAATCGAGAACAGTTTTAGAGTTCAGCTCTGCAAAAGAGCACTACCACAATTTCAGGCTAAGTCAAACTTGTTTCCATGGAAACGCCAAAAATATTTAATTCAGAATTCTAAAACTACCAAAAGGCACCAGTACACCATCAGATCCATGTATGTGCCAAGTTTGGTGAAGAAATATTGAACGGTTTTAGAGTTCTGCTCCGGAAAAGACAAATGTGCACGGACTGACTCCATTTTAATACCCCCCGAAAAACGCTTTGGGGATAATAAGGCATTTATCATAACATTTATCATTTTTAACTTGAAAAAGTCTTTGATGGTCATTAACATCAAACATGTCTAAGTGGTGTGTCAGAACAGTTTGCAAACAAGGCTGTTTTGGCCTCAGATAGCTTGAAGCATTGGAATCTGTCGTAGAGACGCTCAACCACTAAGCAGACTGCTTCAGGATGTCAGATATGGTTGATCATCCAATCTTCACATCAAACTTCTGCTCGGCAAAAGTGATGACTTGTTGTGTTGTCTGGGGTTTGTCTTTCTTCAAAAGGAGCTTTCTTTCTTGATCAATGGCGTAACTTCTACTCGGGCTCGTTAGCAGGTGGTGTACTCATGACAGACATCTTGTGATGAAAACTCATGTCGGTGTAAACATTTTATACAGCTCACTCTGTTATTTCTTGATTAAATCGTCTCATTGAATTATCCTGTGTTTCTAATTAACAAGTGTGATGTTCACCAACGTCAGTGTCAAGCAGCCAGTAAGGAACACGCTAATTACCACTCACGTGTGATTATTTGTATACGGTCGGATGATCCGACCGGCTGTGCTGATTGTCAGATTAACGAATGTTTTACAGTGTATGTACAATAATCAGTTGCTAGATTGGTGTGTCGAAGTCGGAATGCGAGAATGTCGGATTAACAAGAGTAATTATCACTGTTTTAAATGGTTCCGTAATTTTTTGTCCGATGAACGTGATTGTCGGATAAATGAGTGTCGGATTAACGAGAGCTGACTGTATGGCATATTTGTACTGCGCATTATAGGTTATCAATCAAATAAATGGCTTATTGATAGTTTGACAATCAAAATTTGATTATCGATTTAAAAACAATCCAATCGATAATACTGTATACTATCTTCAAGAATAACAAATGATTGGTGTACATGCAAGACTTGTAAATGCTTCCAGGTAGGCTTGCAATCGGAGCATCAAATAACTACTGTAATACATTACAACTGTAACTGGCTGACAAGACTGTCCACAAAATGCCTGCTTCTCCACACGTGATCACTTCAAGAAAATATTTTGCATTTGCGAACGGCTGAATTACTGCGGAATTAGCGAACAAGTTTGGAAATACAGTAGAATACTTTTATAACGAACACAGATATAACAAACTGACGGCTATAGCGAACTGTTTCAAAAGTCCCAAATAAACCTTGTATTATCATATAAAAAAGTGAATAGCGAACTATGGATATAAGGAACTAATTTCAGTGGTCCCTTGAGTTCGTTATAAAGGTATTTTGCTGTAGATAGATATATTAATATTTATCATTGGTCACATCTACTTAGATCTATAGCCATTCTATTCTGATTTCTGCATCTAAGTCAAGAGCATTCAAGAGTTCTACTTTCTCACTTTTCACACACACAAATATCTTGACGTACATATCTTTTAGCTGTAAAAAGTGTGATCTAAATTCATATTTATTGTCAAATACTCCACGATTTTCAACATCCTTTTGTTAAAAAGTGGAGTTTTTTAATCCATAGAAGAATGGGTTATGATCTCGTGTCATATGACATATCTTTATCACAAGCAATCTTGTAGCAGTCGTCAAATCCAGCTGGTCTTGTGTTCATAAATCCATACTTGTAGTCGATCGTTTATCAATAACTGATCGACAGATGAATCAAAACCTTGATTATGGTTTTAGAGGTCGATTCCCAACACGACCATGCATATACCCATGCCTACGCATCAATCTGACTATTATTATCCCAGATAACCAAGCTTCCCGTGAAGCACTAGAAGGTAATAGTCACATGACTTATCCCATTGGGTACCCATTTTCTCCTGGGTGAACAGAGGCAATTTTGAACAAACTCACTTTCCTAAAGTGAGACCACATGTGTCACATGTGCTCCGTTTTGGGGCAGGACTAATGTCCTCGAAACTCTCAGCAGTCAAGCTGCCAAACATGGTGACCCATCCAAGGACTCTCCGCCCTCAACATTGCTTAACTTCAACTGATTTGTGACCTGAGCTCTATACATAGGACCATACCCACCACCACATCTCAGTGAAATATAGAATCTTCAAACACACTCACATCAATGTCATAGTAGTAGTCCTTCCCCTTGGCTGCCTGTTCATAGTCAGCTCGCAGGGCCAAATCGTGAATCTTGGGGCACTCACCCAGATCCATTCTCTGCAAAATCATTACATAATATATACTACGGAAAAAAATGATCTGTCACCACTGACCTATACAAAACAATACATTTATCTGAATACATACACATCTTTGGTTTAATGGAAAAAAAAAGAAAAGAAAATTCAAAGCAGCTTTAAGTTCAAAATGACAGTCTATTCCTCAATCTTAAATCCTAAAAATCAAGCTTATCTCCCTTTATTTCTGCATCACATACATCTAACATGTGGTTTTCCTGAAAATGTACAATCACAAAGAATTGTGTAGAATTTCCAAAGATTCACTATTTTTTGTTCATGATATAAAGAAAAAACACTGAAAGAGAGACAAGCTATGACCTACTACGTACCCAACCTTCAAAAGGAAGTAGACGAGAATTGCAGGAGGTACAGTTTGGGTTTGTTACCAAGGTCAACTTACCGTGCTGGCCAGAATATCATGAGGACAGCAGGCGAGGAGGAAGCTCTTACATACCCGCGGGTCATCAAACTTCACCCGGTACCTGTCATTGTTGCCTAAAATAGTCAAGCAAGTATATCATTGAATGTCTTTTAGTCACTTTGAACACAAAAATACTCAACCAGATTCAGATCTGGCAAGAACCCATGAGTTAACCATAGCATACAGATATGCTAGTTATCCAATATACATGAAATCTGAAGAAAAACAGATACAACCAATTTACTGTTTTCAAATAACACTGATGAAGATATCAAAGGACAAAAGCCATATTTTCATTATAGGGCATGTAGACAAAAAACACAATCATCAAAATGGTTGTATCTGCTTTGACACATGAAGTAAAAAGCCTCAAATCGATTTTTGAAAACATTCACCATGAAGCCTATTTCCGAACTTATTTCTTACAAAAAACTGATTACATGCCATGTTATATGGAGTATGCACTCTCATCAACTTTTCATTTCTACAAAAAGGATTTTTGTTCAAACATCTGATTTGAGACTAAATACTTCAATCAAACAAATAATAAAACATAACATCAATATATCATATACTGCAGCTTTTGCAGGGGACAGTCCATTTTTCTCGTCCATTTTCTGTACATACATATGATGAAATTCACATTGTGGGGAAATACACACTGCGGATATATACACACTGCGTAAGCCAGATTGATTTCTCTTGCTTCTACATGCAGCCTGACAGTGGACTTATGATTCAAGGGCTTGCTGCATGTCACACCCCCACCTGGAAATAGACTAGTCCGCGTTCGCTCCCAACTTGGGGACAGACAGGTCATAGCTTCCACACATAAAGCACACTCATAGTCCATTACATTTAAACCTCAGTGGATTAAAATCTAAAAACCTTTTCTTAACATCACAATGTATAATGATGGCATACTGTAGCACAACTGTGCTTTAATCACTTACCACTGTAAGTGCAATAAGAATGCACTTTAAAGTTCTATAATATACGAATATAAAAAAACACTACAATCAAATTAACTTTACAGGTAGCATGCAGTAAAATGTATGACATGTTATTTTGATATTCTCAATGGTACAAATTATAGAAAGGAAGCATATCGATTGTGATGTACTAATAACTGGAACATTACATGTAATGGGTATTCAACTCACGGCTTGGCCAATCACCTCTTTGCAATATTGTCAGGGTAAGCCCACATAACAATGTCCCCTTGAAAACAGGGAGATTGAAAGAATCAATTACAGTTTGCACAAACCAGAGGAAGATGTTTTAGTCCAACACATAACACACAAATCAAAAATGATAATTACAATGTGATCATGTAAAATCAAACAATTATAAAATATTATGAAATGGAAACTATAGAATGTATTTATACAAACATTTTATGGATAAGATTTCATAATGATTTCTTTACAGTATCTTAAAACTACAATTCTTTTATCTTATTAATACACATGTTAAATAATGTCTGTTCATAAAATGTCTACCATCATACTGTTGATAATGTAACCATCACCTGATAATGGCAATAGATGAGCATGTGTGTTATACAAAGAATTAAAACATCTCGGGCAACAAGAAGTGCAATAATGTACATATGAAAACATATGGAGACATGGCACATAGTCACACAAGTCTCACATGATGCAAGCCCCCAAATGAACAGAAAAGCCTATTTCAGATCTGTAAACTCAAGAACTCATAGTTCCTTAAGTTTCAGACTGAACCACCTTATCAGCATCAAATATGATGAAATTCTTTGGTCTTTTTCATATGTCCTGATTCATGCTGTAACTACTTTTAGTTCAAGTGCAAATATATTGATGAAAAAGAAATATCCACAGCTTACATAAGGATCTTAATCTTTTCATAAAGAATACTGGAAACAGCACATGTACTTACACCATATATTATAAATTTGAGTCCCACCACTCCGTTTTAAGAAAAAGGTCAGGACTATGTTATCGTACAGTAACAATCTATTTGCAGCGATTGATGTAGCCAATACTAACCATAATGCAATTTTCCATTTAGGCAGGCCTATTTGCATTCCATACATAATTGTACACATCATATAAACTGATAATGATCATCCACTTTCTCAAGCATATCATGTTAATGTTACATGCATATATTTATGTTGAAAAAATTAATTTGACATTCACCAAACATAATAGTAATAACCTTGTCTACATTAAAATTATCCATACGAAGAAATCCTTCGAAAATAAGCAGGTATAGCTTGCAAATCACAGTCCAGTAGGTTTGATCACATAAAATTTGGTGCAACTGCAGTATCAGTGGTAGTGACTAATTAACTCTAACCTGCTACAATGTTTACGATTTGATAAGTTTTGTACCAGCATGATCAGTTGTCTTTGAACTAAATGTTGAATTTATTTGCCATTTTGAAATCATGAGCATTCCAAATTCAAGGTAATGTTTTCCCAGGAAAGACAATTAAACAGAGCTTCATCTTAATAACAATGATAATATCAGTGTTTCCATTCTCCGGTATATACCTGAAAATCGTCGGTAAAATTCATTGGGGACCGGTAAATTGAAAGCCAGCAGGACACTGTGTCCGGTAAATAATCATGTATTAAAATAAAAAATCATGGGTAAGCAAAATGACAGTCTTGGCTGTGCTTTCATGGTCGCAAAAATTGTTATGTTTCAGAATTACCCAGGCTAAAAATAACTTTAAAATGAGTAATTACAGTATGGTAATAGGATATGACGGGCAAATTTCATTCATGACCGGTATAAGTTTAGGTCGCCAGACACAGTGTCCGATAAATAATTAAATCAGTGGAAACACTGAATATACAAGTACAGAAATGTTTCCCTCGAGATTGTCCTTCATAAGCTGACAGCAAACATTGGCCACATTCCTAATATTGCATCAGTATACTGGGTTCAGGCTAAAATGTCACCACAGAAAAACTGCACCTGGCGAAAACAGCACCATTTGGACATAACGGAACTTCGACTTGGTGAAAACTGCTACAAATCTTATGGTGAAAATGGCACCAACTAAAATCTTATGGGGAAAACTAGTTTGTTATAAGATAATAGTATTGCAGAATGTTTAGATAGTAAATACATCTACATTATGTAGACTATAGACTATCAAAATTTAAGAACAAGGATGTATTTTTATATTCAAGGATACGATGTGAAAACTGCTTTATACGGTAATGGCACATTGAATAACTCAACTAATAGTGATATTCTGACCTCATTACACCAGTTTATTTCTAAAAGTAACCGCTTCCAGTAATTATCAAATCTACGTATATATTCAATGTCAGGCAAGTTTTATGTAACTTTTATTTTCTGCGGCTGTTCATTTCGTTGCTAGGCATAACCAACACCATATAGAACATATTTATTATTCATTCATTTATCTGTTATTTTGTCACAGTATTTTTCATTTATTATCAAACTATTTCAATTATGTATCCAGCTATTGGAACAATGTACTGGAGCGGCGTTTATATATCTACTGTGCCGCATCCCAATTTAGCATGAAAACATCGCAACCTTTGATGTTTTAAGTACATTTACTTAACTGAAATCGACCAGTGTCAAACTCAGTGTCAAAATGAAATTGTATTTAAAACGCACAAATGTACCCATTGTTTACCGTCGCCGAAATACCTTAGTTATACGTGCGACGTTAAAATAAAGCAAATAACAACAACCCATTGTTTGTTAGTTTTTTTGTGTTTGGGGATTTTTTTCTCTTTTGGGTATGCATAACATAATATTTTTTGAATATACATAACAAATTATGCAAGCTTAATGATTTTACTATTTTTATTAGAAATTTCCTGAAATTGTGTCACTTCCCTTATGAAATTTTAGCATCATTTTGAAAAGAAAAAATCCAAAGATAATATTTATTTAATGTACATATATATAGAGAGATTATTAACGGAATCGATTCGTCGTCTGTATTGTGATCGATAGATCGAAATCCTTGGTTGGTACCTTCTTTAGACGATTGCCTTTCAGTGGTGCCTCATGATTCGTACCTTCAATTTGAACGAAGTACTCCGTTTCATGTTTTCCGAAGTCAATTGCTGCAGTAACGACTCCAGAACCTCTGTCATCAATTCTTACAGAATCACCAATTTTGAGAATGACTCATATGTTGATATAATCTTGCTAATGTTATAATGAAATGAAATAAAACATAAGTCAACGTCATACTTTATTTTATATATGGTGCCGTTTTAGCCCAGAGATCAGTAGCCATTTTCGCCAATATGGTGCCGTTTTCGCCAAACAAATTTGGTGCCGTTCTGCTGTGGTGCCGTTTTAGCTATAACCCAGTATACTATATCATTTTAAGACAATAAACATTGTCTAGTACTGAAGAATAGAGTTAACTTCCCAAGTTGTGAATGAAACCATTGTTAATGCAGCTTCACTGTCATTTCTGACAGCCATTAATTGTTGGCAAATGTGTTGTTTCTGAAATAATTTTGACTGAATCTACATGGTCTGTTGGGCTTTAAAGCATGAGAAAACGGGTGCTTAACAAAGTAAAAAACGTGGTCAGTTCCAGCACTTCCTCCTTCAAATTGATTGTTTCTTTCATCATCACAATATTCAAGTTATGGCTGGAACGTAGAGGCCATTGACAATGTCCTGGCAGATTAACCTCTCAAGTAATCATAAGCGTTAAAATGTGCGTCGCTCGCTAATTCTCATAATACGCGCAAGGTTGGTGCATATTCCTGGTCTATATTTAGATTCGACTGTTTTCACCACTGATATGGTAGCTGCCGTGTCAGCCTGATGTAGTTTTTTCCCCGACCCCACGTAGGTAATAAGAAAAAGATAATGTAACCTTGTTCCTGAAATGAGTTATCCGCATTAGTATTACCCCGACACCCTACTTTGGAATCGATGATTCGTGGTCTCAAACCGTGATGTAGAACAGTTATCGAAAATTACAGTTGCAATACAATACAAAACGCTGCATCAACGTTCTGAGCGCCTCATAAAATATGGACACGATATTGTAAAAGTCTACTAGTATTTAATTTCTTCCAACTTACCATCCCTGGATGTTCCCATGAGTTCATCCAGCATGGCGCGAATTTGATCTTGAGCAGACATTCTTAAGAAAACGTGTCAAAAATGCTTAAATCTGGATAATGATTACACTGTTCTCTCGCTATATGTCTGCAAAGCTCACAACCAAAATGGCTGCAACGCGATCTGGGCATGTGACGTCATGTAAAGGGGAGTAAGCACGAATAGGATTCGTGTCCTGGCCTACCACTACGAAATTGCTACATATGACCACACGGTACCGATGGATACACATATTAATGCAACATATAGCATACTTTATGTCGCCGTGAAATAAAGACATGAAATACAAGTACATGTACAACATAATGAGCCTTATCATTAAAAGATGGTACAGCTAAGGAAAGTCAATCAATAGGAAGATCATATCGATTGCTCTGGTAGATAAAGGGGAAACATGTAGGGCAGGATTAAATACAGTACAACTAGAAATTATTGAGAATTTAAGATTGTATTTTTTATTTTATTTTCACTCATTACTCACGTATTAAATGTGAATATTAGCAGAAGATAACTCCAGATTCAAAGACAGGTGAACAGTTATTTTGTCAAGTCAACATGGGCAGCAATGCAGGCTTCAATGCGGCGGGGCATACTACTGATCAAAGAAGTTAAAAAGTCGTGGTCCATGCTGTCCCAATATCGGACCACCTCTTCTTTCATTTCAGCAATATTTGTCAGATTTTTCTTATTGACACTTTCCTTCATAAGTCCCCAAACATTTTCTATTGGATTTAGGTCAGGGCTATAGCTTGGCCAATCTAATAATGTCCTATTTTGGGTCCGAAACCACCTAGGCCTGTGAATGCTTTGAACGATTTTTGGGTCGTTGTCCTGCTGAAAATCCAAACATTTCCATAGAACACGTGAGCAGATGGAAGTAAATGTCCCTCGAGAATATCTGTGTACCGCTCACTGTTCATATTCCCTTCAAATACACAGAGGGGCGTTGCCCCTAACACAGATATGCCACCCCACACGTTATATTTCGAACTGTACTTTGGGTGCTGATACAAAGGTTTTTCAGTTTGTTTGGTCCAGAATTTCAGTGTATTAGGAAACAGCCACACAGAACTTTCATCTGAGAAAATCACAT